CTTCTTCTGGGCGTGCTTCTAAAGCTGTAATGAGATTTTCGTAGCTCTTTGGTAAGCCGCTTAGTAAGAGCGCTGCAATGTGACTGTCCTTTATTTCTTCACCGATTCCTCGCAGTTCGTCTACGATTTCGAGCATCTTGTTGACATGTTCTTCGAGTTTGTATTCGTTTTCTGCTGCTTTAACGTATACAGCTTTCTCAGAAGGTAAAGTTTACTGGAAAGATTCTTTCTTTCATGTATTTTCTTTAATTCATTCCATATTTCTTTGGCTGTCGTTTTATTTCTTATGTGTACGATTTGGTTGTCTTCTACGAGTAAACTAATGGTAGCTTGTGCTTGTTCATCTCGTTTTCTCCATTCGACGTTTATTTCTTTTGGTGTATCATCTGCTATTAAATCCCATAAATTTTCCTTTTTCAGGATCATTTCAAGTTTGTATTTCCATACTTGATAGTTGTTATTGTTTAGTTTCATGATCGAATATTTATTTTCGCAGCTAGTAGCCATTTCTGCTTCTGTATTTCGAATGCGCAGTATGCAACTATGCAGTTTTGTTTCGCTTTTGAAGGCAGGCTTGGCTATTTCCTTTTTCGGATTATCCAGCGATAATTTATGGTAAAGTATCTTTTCTGTTTTTTTTATTCTTAATGGCTTATCTCGATATATTTTATGCGTTTAATTGAAGTAAACATATTTTCGGTCTCATAATCTTTTGTTGAAGGTATTCGTGGTTCATTTTTGTTTACTGTTACAACTTCGCTAAATCGAGACGAGCACATGAATAAAACAGAATTAAAGTTCTTACCTTAATAAAGTGTAATCCAAGCTGCCGATGTAAGGAACACGATCATTATATTAGCAAACACAAAAATAACATATTTATTAGGTATTGGAAGAAAAAAATATAGCGATGATTACAAGCGTTGTTTACTGTCTATTGCATAACGCGAGAAGTGAGTCATACAAGGAGAGAATGTTTCTCCTCTTTTTGGATGAAGTCCAATCACAGTTAGCGGGGGTGAGGGGGAAATTAACGTCGGAGTGTACAGCTTCATCGCTGTCATTATGAATTGCTCCCAAAACACAGGAAAGCAAAAATTATCTTAAAAATAAAATAAATATTAGTATTATTATTGAAATAGATTTCTAATTAATTCTATTATTATAAACGAGTTTATAAAGAAGCTTGTAGACTTATATCTAGCAAAGCTTCCTTTTCTTTTTCAGAATTTTATGGCCCTGTAGAAGACTGCCTTTTTTTTTTTTCCAATAACCTGATCCACTGAGGAAATTGCTGGAGATGTATGAGCCGAAAAGATATAATCTAAAATTGCATTTAAATTTTTCGTGAATCTATCTTGCCCTTATATTTAACTTCACTCCTAAATAGGCATTCAATTAGTCATCAGCTAGATTTGTTTTATGAAGACCACTTCAGAGTAAAACTAAGTAAATTTAAAGAATGAGGTTTTAAAGGCCACCAGTTAAATTCTGCGGCCTGTGTATGTGCATCAGTTACCTGATTAAAGTAATATATGAAATTATTAACATTCTGAAGTGCATAATATTCAGCCTGCGTAAGGGTGAATATATCCGCCATTCATCATCCGTAATAGTTGTTCGCTTTCCATGTTCTTATTAATCAGTGGCATCATAATTCCGCTGATATATTGTTTCCTCTAAACATGTTTTCAATGAAGGAAATAATTTTTTTTATATCTGTCTGCTATAATTCACTGCAAACAAGCATCTGTCTCTGACAACTTTTTTAATTACAAGAAAATATTTCTATCAATTCGTTGTTAAAAAATTCAGAGCGTGGAAATCAGACAAAGTAATGTAATAAAGAAGTGAAGAATAAATTACATGTGCACATGTAATTTATTCATGTCATGCTTCAACAAAAAAGACTTAAGAGGAATGATTGCTACTTCCAAGAATGTGAATCCGTGTACCAGACATGGTACATGTGTACCAAGTTTGAACTATTATTGCCTTCTTTGGTAAGAACGGTCCATTTACTGCGTTCTTTGCAGAAATGCTTCCAATGCTTGTATATCTGCAAACATTTTACAGCAGTTTCAATTGAATTTACGGCGAAAAAATATCACATTCTGTAAACATTATTCAAATATAACAGACAAAATGTGTGTAAAAATGATGACTTTGTTTGCTAGAACTGAAGAATTATTACTTGCATGCTTGAGAGAGTTTGACAGCTTATACTAATAAGGTTGCATTAATGGTGTATTTTAAAATTTTGCTTCCATATGCTGTCCCAGAAGAAAGAAAGAAAATTCAAAAGTTTTTTGTTTAAAGTTTAAGTTGAGCAATGCATTGCATAAAGATGACTATTAATATATAATGATGATAATTATTCTAGTAATAATATTGCTTATGATGTTATTTCTATGTGTACTAAAACTGCTAAATCAGATGTTAAAACTGATATAAATTGTGTATCTAATACTCAGAGCGATGGTACTGTTAATAATCCTAAATCAAAAAGAACTAAAAAATCTAAGCGCAGTGCTAACGACATAAATAATGATGAGGGCTTTAAGCAGCCTCGTCATGTGGCCAGGCAAACTAAATTAATAAAGCCTAATATTGACATTCCTGGTTAGAGATAACTTTGAAAGTCTAGCTAACAACCATTTGGTCAATACTTCTAATGATACTGACAGTGGGAACGTACAGGGTGAGCACGAAGTTATGGAGGTTGTGCCCTATAAAATTAAGCCTTTCATGGTCAAACCAAGTATTCAATTCTCTGAGTTTGTGAAAAACCTCAAGATTGATACAAAACTCGATTTCGCTGTCAACATCAATGGCGAGTTCCTAAAAGTTTTTCCCGAACCCGAAGCTGATCACAGGCAAATCTCCAGATATCTGGAAAATAAGCAAATTGATCATTACATCGTCACTAAAAAATTAGAACAACCTATTAAGGTAATCTTTCGGGAGGTCTCCCCATCTATCTCCCAAAGGTGATATTGAAGAGGAACTAGAAAAACTTGGATATAAAATACTTACGGGATCACCAAATGTACAGATTTAAAACTAAAGTGCCAATGCCACTCTTCCAAATTCAAATAGAATATCAACCTGGTATTTATAAAATATACGATGTCTCATTTTTTATTTGTTTCTATGTAAGTGTTACCCCTTATAATGGCCTAGAAATGTTGTGCAATGTCATAACTGCCAACACTTCCACCATTCATCCGATACATGTAAATTGAAGCCCGTTGCGTAAAACGCATGGGGTCTCACAAAATTGAAAATTACATGACCGAAAGGCTCGAAAATGTTATGTGTTGTAACTGTATACAGTCAGGATACACCGCAAACTATCGTGTGTGTCCGAAATTTCCAACCATTAAGACATTTGTTAATGCAAATACTAGATCTCATATACCAAAATTTGTAGCTGCTAACAATACTGTAAACAAAAATGCTCCTGTTGTCTCTGGTACTAGTTATGCCATTATGGCAAAAGGCAAAACTGATGATAATAATATTATAAATTCAAATATGTCAAATAGTTCTATTCCAAATAATGGTAATGTGAAAAAAAAACCATTAATGTGTGTGTCAGTGCATTCAATGGTGTACTTAAATTCTTCAAGGAACTTCAAAACATATTTAAAGGACTTTCATTAACTTATAGTAAAATTTCTGCGAATATGCCTGAGCTACAAGAACCTAAGCAGAATTCTGAACAGATCCTGAACAGATCTTTATTCGGTTCTCAATGTTTGAAGACATTTTTTGCTCCAAGAAGACTGTGAAATTCTTGATATGTATTAATATGACTTAATGTACACAATTATGAAAATTTTATTTCTTAAAATTTACTGTATTATTGTTTTGTATCCTATATATACTCATTGCTGTTTACACAGCTCGTGGGCATTCAACTTTTGTCAACCAGCCTTCTTTGAATTTATCACAGAGCTGTGTATATGTGCTTCTCTATTTCTCACTGTGCTCTAGCTTGATATTATGTATGCTTTTCTATTAAATTTACTATATGCAAAATCTCTTCCTAAATTCCTTTTACTATAGCACACTTTAAGATCTGCACTTATCCCCCTTTCTATGTATCAATTGTGCATTAATCAATTTCTTAGCTTGGCAGGTTTATTCACCAGCTCGGCAGCCCTTCTCAGCTATTCCAGATGTCATTTTCACGACCTCTTGAATTTTTCGCACGATCCTTTTATTCTTACCATACCTTAAAAACTTCAAGTTTAAAAAAAAATAATAATAAATTAAATTTGTGTTATAAATATGTACTTATTTTTTGTGTAGTATATTTTACTACTGATATCTTCAGTCATTTTACTTTTTATCTTTCGGAAACTGCTTATGATATTCGATGAGGGGTAGAATTTCTTACCCAGGCACTCTGTTGCTACACCAAAAATTGCTCCCGTTCATCATTTAATTTCTTTAAATATAATACAGGGCGATAATAATTGGTGGCTATAATTTGAAAAGTCAAACAACGCTTGTAGTGGAGCAAGGAGGCTATTCTAACCTTCTTGTAGTGGAGCGACGCAAAATGCCAAAACGAAATTAATAGTTCTGGGCAAATTGCCCTTTGGACTAATAAGAACTGCATGGGATTTGAACTTCTGTTATTAGAAACGCTATGTTTCCATAGTTTCATCTACCTTTTTCTGATTTATTAACAGTTTTAGACTATTTTTTGTTTCTATTCCTCTGTAATTTCGGAAATTCCTAGCAACGGACAAAAACATATGATTGATAAGTCGAAGTTGAAGTATTTATTTCTGACAAATTGAAACCTTTCATTTTATGAAAAGTTAGCAAAGCAAATTTTGAGCAAAGAAAAATTAATTTCGATCGTAAAATTTGAAATATATCTTTACGCTTATTATATAATTATGATTGCATCAGCGTAGTTATTTTAAGTAGGTAAAATTTATAACTTTTTTTAATGAAATGAATACAATAACTTCTACTACACAACTAGCGGTTTATTTGAAAATTTTAACTGCTGCGGTTAAAAATTAATGTAAGATTGAAAATACTGAATTTGCCATGAATTTTAAAAGAAATAATATAGATTCAGTGCCTAAACGGCGTGCAACTGAAAGAAGTTTTGGTGGGAAAGAAAATAATTCTATGTCTAATTCAAGAAATCCATCTTCGACAAAAGTTGAACAAATATTTAATGAAGTTAGGATATCTGCATGTAAAACTATAAGTAACGTGAAGTGTTCTTTTGATGATTTATCTCAGGTGAGCGGTTTCTAATTTTGTTCTTATAATACTAAATTACAACTTTCAGATATTTTAATTCAGTCTAAGTTGGACATAATTTTCTCTCAAATATCAAATAAAAGAGTAAAATAAAGTATAGTATGATTAGTCTTTATGATTATGATCTTTTAAAAATTAGGATACTTAAACCTTATCTCATTAATCATATTTTACGAAGAAGTGTGACCAAACAGTGGGATTTAGAGCCAATAATGTATAAAAGTGATGTAACACACTTATAAGATCTCTGACTATTACGTGTGATAATGGCTAATTCTGACTATTGATGTACTTCATACATTTTTTTAATACATATGGATTTACAAGCTTTATATTTTAATGATATTTTCGCGTATAAATCCCACTAACTGTAGATACTGATCACATAGATTTTTGATTTTTCTGATAGTATTTCTTTTTTTTAAATGCATTGGTTTTTCAAAATTTATCTTTATAATTTCATCAGTTTAGTCTTAGCTTTTGACTTCGTTTGTGAGTTCCTTTCATATGGATAGTTAATTTTCAAATTGTTTATTTTCTTATCTTGGAAACTGTATCTGTGCTTTTAATTTTATTTTGCATTCATGTTGCTATACTTATTTTATATTTTGTATTATTATTTAGCTCTTATATTGTAATCTGCATTTAAAACCACGAGAATCTGATAAAAAAAATTCTTACAAAACTCCATTAGAAGAAGGTAGTTTAAAAATATTCCTATATCCACTTTTCTTCATTATAAAAAATAGTTTGAACAGCCCAGGATTGTAAGCGTATATTGGTCATTCCCTTTTGATCTTTAAAAATTAGGATACTTAATACATTTTCTCATTAACTATATTTAACAAACAAACAAACAAACAAAAAAAAAAAAAGTGCCACCAAACAGTGGGATTTAGAGCCACTAATGGGTAAAAGTGATGTAACACACTTATAAGATATTTGCCTTAGTTTTATGTAACCCTTATTAATTCTTGATAAATCAGTTTAGTTTAAATAAAGTATGACATTATAAGATAATTACTGTATTGTCTTCAGGGCTTAATTTCTAAAATAAGAGATACCGGAGCCCTATAGAAGACCTTCAGGAAAGAGGAACAAGCATAAATAAGTAAATAAAATCATTAATAATTATAAAATTAAATAATTAAGTAATTAATTGCTAAAGTAAATAATAATTAAAATTAAAATGCAAAGGGATAAATTAAAATTTAATAATAAGCAATTTTTAATATAATTTTATTGCTAAAAATAAAATTTTCAAGATAAATTTCTACTGAAATTTTTGTTCCAGTTACATAAAAGAAGTGCCAGAGCCTTCTTATCTAGGGCTCTGGCTAGAATTATGAATTATCCTCAAAACCTCAAACATGAAAATCCTCAAAAGTACCGGAGCTGGGCTCCGGCGCAATTTAAGCTTTGATTGACTTCAGTATGTGTACCTGATTACATAAATATTTTTGTACTCACTAAAAGAAAACACAATGTTTAACCAAATTAAATCTTTTTATTACATACATTTTTCAAAATTCTTATAAAGTTATTGCTCATAAAAAAAGACATCAAATAATGTGCATGTGGCATACGCAGAGGATCCGTTGGCGCCGGTGCGTATTTATTCGCCAAGCTCACCAAAGGCTAATCGGCCATGATTTTAGCGGTGTATAGTTAGTTACGTTGCAAGATATTTAACAAATGTAAGCAATGATTTGAGCGGTGTACAGTCAAGTTATAAGATATATAGCATATAGAAGTAAAATAAATAGGTTAACCATGACATTTAGCGGTGTATAGTTAAACAGGGAGGACGCGCGCTGTATTATTATGTAACACGAGAACGCGCGTCGCAATTAAACGATGTACAAATGTAATAATGTAAAATAATGCATTCTATATTAATTATAACATTTATTATATAAAATTGCTTAAAAATAAGGTTACTTTTAAAATTAATGACTAATAAATCAAAAGTACTTACGTTTTCTTCATATGACTAGGAATCATTGATTTCTATGAGAAATTTGTGTTTTTTTATTTTTGAATGCAATTATAATCCAAATTATGCAGAATTATTACATAGACAATGAGTTATATAATTAATTTTCAAATCAATTAGGCTGAAGAAGAATTAAAGATATTTTGTAGTTTGAATGATGCTTCTATTTCACAGTGCTTTTACACTTCACACATATAGTTTTTGATTTTCTGTCTTTTTCTCTTGAGCACATGTAACATCTCCGGTAACATAATTTTCTTTTCTTTGTTTGCGAATCTTCAAGAGAATCTTCGTTGTATTCCTTCTGTTTCTGTCTTGATTTTAAATGAGGATCTAAAAGTGCAAAGGCCAAATCAGAAGTGCCTCCTATTCCTGAACTTCTCTGGTGGAGTTTTAGTAGATAAAAGCAAGATCTTTGAATTTATGCTGGCAATATTTAATAACAAAAAAATATGCCCATAGGCCATCGGTTTGATACTCTGGCCACAGAGTAAGTGCCACCCATTTCGTCGACTATATCAACTGCTCCTTTTTTCATGGGGTCCACCAGCAGCTGAGCGGTAAAGTCGCTGAACACTGATAGTTCGGTCCGAGGTTCAAATCCTGCGAACAGGCTGGCTGCATGGGTGTTTTCGTGGTTTTCCCCACGTGTAACGTGTATACAAGACAGTTTCCCTTAGAAAGTCCTCCACGAAGGCATCCCTCCCTTTAGGCAGATAGGCCTAGTGTACTTTGCCATAATCTCAATAAACTTTTGTCATGTTATAAAACGTAATTATTTCAGATTTTTTCAAATCTCCCGTGCTTTCATCAATGTGGTCATCATTGTGCATAGTTGACAAAGGTTGACACATTTGTTCTTTTTAGCCATATAAGAAAGTAGCATTATATCCTTTTGAAACCCAAAGAGAGTTGAATGCTGTTCTCTATTCTTATTCGACACAAATTCAGGTGGGATAATCTTCTCATCCCTGCATATTGTTCCAACGATAGAAATTTTATTTTCCTGTAACAAATTGGTCAATTTATAAACTGGTGTACCAACTGTCTGTTGTAACGTTTCTTCCTGAATTGATGTGGTAATGTTTCTTTCTGAATTGTATAATGGAGTTAGGATGCGCTTTGCTTTTTCACAAGAACTGTTGACTTTCTTGTATGGCCCATCTGGCTACTGACCTGAGTAAATTTTCATGTTGAAAGTATAGAAGGTTCTAAAATCAACCACAGTAAATATCTTTATACCATATCTTACAGGTTTCTTAGGCATATACTTAAGAAAGGAGCATCGTCCTTGAAAAGGTTCTAGCTTTTCGTCGAAAGTCATGTATTTCCCTACATGATATAATTTCTGCCAATTCTTGACAAAATTTTCAAAGAAATCTCTTATTGGAGCTAATTTATGACTCTTTCTTCTGCCATCCTATGTTCCGACATCATCAAATCATAAGGCACGAATGAAAAGAAAACGCTTATAGTTCATTGTTTTACAAAAAATATTCAATCCTATTCCATCAGTCACCCATAATTCTCTAACATTTACATGGGAGGATAGATAATGGGAATGGGATTTACATCATAAGTCCTAAAAAAGCAAGAAACACTTCTTTCTCCATAGGTTCTGCATCTCTTTAAAATTACCCGAACTATTTTTTACATAAATATTAGAGCATTTCACGATCATTTCAATCATTGGGGGTCATCAAATATTAGCTTCCATGCATCGATGAGTGAAGCCACATCTTTAGATATATGTGTATTGCCAGGCAATTTATTTAAGATATTATGGGACGCCATGCATCTTTGAATTCGAAAGGGTTCTTTCTTCCATTTTGTTGTTTTATCTTTTCCTCTAAAATAGTCACTTTGATCACAAGAAATTTCTTCAGAAGAGTCACACTGTTTTTCGAATTCAGACTGATGATCACTAAATATATCTTCATCATTTAAATCTTGTAAGAAAGTCCGTTTCTGAAAAGATGTTTGGAAACTTATAAGAAATGATGTTCCGCAAATTTACCTTAAAATGGACATAATTCAATGCTGTATACATTAGTGCAATTTAGAATATCCAAAGTGAGAATGGAAAAAGCAATATTCTCATTTCCATTTATGAAATAACCAACGCTGTTGACAAATTAATATGTACCCTAGGATAATTGCAGTTCTAGGATATCATTGAAATAATTTCTTTTTATAACAGATGTAGGAAAAATCAGCAGTTCCAGTATTCTAGACTTATTAAAAACCAGCAGTTCCAGTATTTTATTCTGCATCAGGCCTAATGAAATTAAACATTACAACATCATTTTCTTCTGAATGATGCAGCCATACTGAAAAAGGTAGATGAAACACTTCTCAAAATGTTGCATCTGAAATGAGTCGTAAATGCTTTGCGTGAAAAGTTCATGAATTGTTGCCAAACATTGACAAACCTATTTGTATTCTAAGAAAGATCTTTTTATACATCTTTTATAGTGAGAGTCTTTGGAGAGAATGCAGCTGATATATTAATTTTGACAAAGTGGGTAACATGGTCAAGTGAGATTGTTATTATGCCAAGCAGTAATAGCTTCTGTTTCTGTCGTGATTTTAGGGGGCATGGCAGTGTGATGGCCCAAGATACTGAATTACTGAAGATTCAAACTTGGGTCAAACTACCAGTATTCAGAATTGTATTGCTCAACTGCTTATGAACTTGAACAAAAGTATGAATATCTTGTTAGTGAAACCCATGGCGTAAGAAAATCGGGAAAATTTATAAAGTTTTCAAGATTAGGAACATGGTCGATTTTGTTATGAATCCCATGATTCTGACATTTTTTAAATACACTCCTGCTACACTGATAGAGGCGGAATGATCATTGTCCTGCTTACAACAGATACCTCATGTCAATGTAGAATCTTAAGGAAAGTTTAGGTTATTTGAATATGGCAATGAATACCGGGTATGGACCTGAAGAAAAATGCCGTTTTGAACAACTTT